TTTTTTACATATTTCACTTGACTATAAACGAAAACGTTTCGCTAGGTATCATGGAGAGGAAACGAATACTATGTAAAAATCACCAAGACAATTTGTAAAATATGCCAAGACAGTTCAGCAAGGTATTTCCATACTGAACACACTAGATAACACACTAGATAATAGTTTCTAAATCGTTTTAACACCACTAGGTAGTGCTCTTAAAAACGATGTAGAAAAAATATTTTTAAGTGAAAGTTAAATTATTTTTTTTTAACTCAACTCAAATGCAACTGTAGATAGATTAAAAAAAAATGTAAAAAAATTTTTAAGTTATACTTCTTAAGAGTATGGACATTTGATTTTTCATTCCACCCTAGTGAATAACATCTTTCCTTGTGTTACCATCCAGCTAAGAGCCTAAAGATCCATGGTTCGTTCATAGCCAGCAGTCAACACACATATTTTTCGCAACCTTAGCTATCACGCACAGTGAACATACAATTACTTCTTTTCTTGATCTAATCTAACAGTAAACTGATTTACCTTATTTGATTAATCATTTTGAGACAAGACAGGTATAATCATCTGACTCGCAACTGACTTCAAAATTTCTAACATCGACTGCACAGGATTTCCCTGCTCCTTTGTTAAAAAAAACTGCTACGGACGAAATTTTTATGTAAGATTTTGTTACAAAAAATTTTTGTTAATATAATTTTTTTCAGTAACACACTATCTTCAGTAGCATATTTCCTTAATATATGCTAACAGTAAACTTATTCGCCTTAATTTTAATCATTTTGACACAAGACATGTAAAATCATATGACTCGCAATCACCATCAAAATTTTTTACATTGACAGCACGAACTCTTACAGGGATTTATAAAAAAAAAATTTCCGGACGAAGTTTTTCTGTAAGGTTTTGTAACAGAAAATGTCTGTTAATGTTTCACTTTAAGCATACTATTAATCTTGCTGCTAAAGATTTAATTTAATATTACAGGACTTTTTTTTATTGTTTAGTATACAAATATGACTATACAAATCAACCAGTTATACCTGATATTAGTTCCTTTTGGAGCAACAAATGAACTCACGTATACTCAGTGAGTCACTTTGACATCGATCCGAATATAACTATTAAAATAAGTTTAGCTTATGCGAGTAACTAACTTGTAGCTAGCATTAAGTTTCAATATTCACTGTTAAAATTGTAAAAGAACAATAATTCCTTTGAAAGCCAAACTTTTCTTCATATTCATAAGAATAAAATGAGTTTGGTTGAAATACCTGACTAAGTAAAGGACTCAAGAATCATTAAAGCAACAGCACAACTCCATTTGCTTATTAATCTGAGCAAATTTCACTTACTGCGAAAACATCCTGGTAGTTGCTTGAATTTCACGCATAACTTAGAGCGTAATGTGAAAATTATTTTAATTCGCATTAACGGCTCGCAATTACGAACATGATTAAAGAGGATCTCTCCGGCGCAGGCGCATTTTAGAATGTTGATTCCTCCGAATAATTAAAGGCACGATTATAGAGAACTCCAATGGTCTGTATATGGAACGCAAAAGTGATTCGACTAGAATACATCATTTAATAGTTCGTTAGAATATCATCAAAACTTTCGACGCACTTTAAATTTTGAATACTTAACAATTTGCTTTCATTAAAGCACAAAATACAAAGACTAGATCCCTAATGCACATGATTTATAGTTTTCGAATTTGCTTTTTGGCCAGCTCAAGGATTCATTTTATGAGTCCTATTTATGTGTTCAAAAGCTTGTATTGAGATTGAAAAGAATTTTTTTTCAACTCCCAAGAAGTGACAAAATAAATTTAGCTTCTTTATAAGGCTAGTTTTATTTTACTTGTTGTATATATATATTTTGTAAACTTTCTGCTATTTTTCAATTTTTACGATTAGAAAGTAAGACCTAGTTTTTATTGTTTGTCGTCATTAACTTGAACAATTTAATAATAAAAATAATTGAACTTTATATTGGTACTTTTTAGTATTTAAAGGAAGTATGAAACTTTAAATGTTTCGAACTTTCCATAAATGCATTCATAAATACATTTTTATGTATACAAAATATGGCACGTATTCATAAATATAATAAAGATTAATAAAATGGAAAATTTATGAACTATTTATTTCTTGATAATCATGGGTAAATACTTTCTAAAGGTAATTTATTTGTGTTCTGTTAATGTTTTTTCGCTCTCTGAAGGATAAATTTTATTATTGCATTTTGGAAGTAATGTATAAACATGTTAAAAACGCAAATATCAAACTAAATAAATATTGTTTGAAATTTAGGAAACAAATAAAGTAATTTCTTCAAGAACTCTAACTGGAATCAATGGAGCAATGGCCCATTCAGGGCCAGGGCCTACAGTGTTCATCCCAGTTTTCTTGACTTTGGGCTCTGAAGTGCAGACGCATATGTTTCGGTTAGGTGGTCAAATGAATGAAGAGTCCCCAGTGTTTAGTCCCCAATCATGCCTGGTGCTCACTTTATCAACTCACTGAAGGCATGAAAGATTGAGTCAACCTTACCCGGTTCGATAATAGAACCCCGAACTTGTGACACGGAAGATCGAAGCATTACCATTCAGCTCCCAGGCTCAATAAACTCAAATTATTTGAAAATAACTAGCTTTTTTTTAAAAAAAATACTTTCACATTGTTACTCAAAAATAGTTTGTCATATCATTCATAGCTATTCATATCATAGGTTGTCATATCAACTCAAAATTAAACTTTGCAATGAAAACCTATTAGAAAACAATTCAAATCATTTATCGTCTTCTGATGCATGTGCCCTAGCAGCAAAATAACTTGGGCCCTCATGGGACCAATATTCACGAATCTTATCTCAATAAGGATTCAAAGGCCAGTTATTTTTCTGACATTTGGCTTACATAGAATTGACTGATTCCCCTAATATTTTATAGCCACTTTATAGCCAATATCTGCTCTCTACAGAATTGACAGATTCTTCCGATGCTTTATGTTCATTATTCAGAAAATATAGGCTCTATATTACCCCTATATAGGCCGATATTGGACCGGTAAAGGACCAATATTAAAAAATCTAGATGTCCTAATATTGGTCCATCGGTGTATGTTTTATAGGACCCATATTGAGCCAATTTTGAGCCTAACTGGGGGCAAGGTGAAATTTTTGCTAGAAGTGTAAATATTTACAATAAACATATATGTGAACACAAAAACTGCATACAATTAAAAGCAAGTACTAAGGTTTTGACTCTATTCTACGCTAAGTGAGTTATACAATTCTGAAGATGTATTAATCACGAAAAAAAACTTGTATCAAGATGAAGCTTTACTCTCCTTAAAATTTCCCATACTATTAACTAGTGCATGAAGGACGTAATTTACAAAGAGACTTTAATTTTATAGAATTTTATACTTTGCACATGCTTAAATCATACTAGTTTGTGCATGATTATTTCTAGCATAAACAGTTAGAGAGCAGTTGCATCAATAAATTTGCTCTGGAAAATGTTTGAGTTTAGAAGTTTTTGAAACTGCATTGTAAATACTATATAAATTATAATTTGTGAATCTTTGCTATGAAATAGATTAATGTCCTTAAATCTTATGAATTTGATATTAGATATAAAGAAACTCCTTCAAAACTTTAAAATACATAACCGTTTTATGATAGCAATTCCAATTCTGATATATATATTTGTTAACTTCTACACATTTCCTGTTGAACAAAACTATATAAAACAATATGAATCGCATAATTAATATTGCTATATAAAATCAGTTTGCATCAATATATGCAAATATTATAATTTGGGAATTAATATAGAAAAACGTCAGAAAAATTAAAGCACAATAAATCTAATTATGGAACGGATTCCCGCTTGGAGCTCGGAAAATTAATTTTGCTAAAGTACACTTTCTATTGCTGTCAGAAATATATGTAAATTCAGCTAATATTAAAGCAGGTTTATTTTTTTACCTATATTAATGTTTATGCTAAAATAACATTTGAAATCTGAAGTAATTGAAGCTTTCATTTCCATTTTATTTCAATTAGTAATCCATGAAACATAACCATATAAGTAATTGATTATGTCTTTATTTCTGTTATTGAAAATCTGAAAACGAATATCTCGACTTGATCATTAAGAATCTATTTAGTAATAATAGTGATAAATATTAAATTATAAATGAAATACCAAAAAATTAGCACAATATTTACAGTTCTGCACAATTTTATTAAGTATTTTTTTCCAAGAATTATTTAAAACCTGGCATTTATACTCTGTAAAATATAGTCAAACATAACAAAATATGGAAAAATGTATTGTTTTTCTGACTCAATTCATCAAAAACTCGATAATTTTTACCGACTAGCTTTTGTAATGGTTTTGTTAAAATTAACCATAAAATATGGTGTTATAATTTTAAAAAAAAATTGGTATTAGTGAAAAAATTTTATAACTTTACTATGACACTTCAGAGTCTCTCATAAAACGATTTATTCGGATAAATTTAATTTCCAGTTTTGTATTTTTTATTAATTATGTGGTATAAATACTATAATTTCGATAACCTGAATTTCCGATAAGCTGTTACCATATTGAATTGAGAAACTGCGTAAAAATGGTTCAGATGACGTATATTCTGTTTTTTATTACCAGAATTATGTTTTTTTTTCTATCAGAAATGCCATAACTATACAATACCTTATTTTTACCAGAATTTTTTCTATCCGTGTAATACGACTGCAACCAGAAACGCAGAAGTAGATATAATTGGATGAGATTAGTTACGTTTTCTGAAAAACTCTGCAGGCAAAATTCCTGTTGAAGTTTCATGAGTACCGCATGGTATAGTAAATTGGGAAGAGCCATGTTAACATGTAGAAGAAGGGCGAGCGATAGAATTAACCATGTATCGAGCAATATGTCCAATGGTAAGGGACAACCATGTATCCAACGGTTTGAAATAAAATTAACCATGTGTCCGAGCTGTTTTGAAGAAAGATCTGCTGCCATTGACCGAATGCAACGTTACCAGCTGGGGGCGTTGTATGCCATTCAGAACGAAGAGGACAAGTAATGTCTCATCCAGATATGCTTATCAGACTGACGTCATTTAACAAAACCGTATTGAACTAATTTGTTCTAAGGTCTCTGATTATTTTTTTAACTGTTTTTAATCTTTTTTAAAATATGCATTAAGCTCAGCTAAAATATATACATATTTTCTTTCTCTCTTATTAACTTTTATTTTGCTCTGTTGAATTAAAATGATTAATTTAAATGAACTGCGAGAAACACAATGGATCCAATTATTATACTTTGTGAATGGAATATGCAAGCTCATGCTGAAAACCAACAAGTAAAAATATTACAGTCATAATTTATGCATCATCAGCAGAAAGAGGGTGGTTGTCAACGTTCAGAAATTTTTTGTTTTTTTTTTCGTTTTCGTTTAATGATAGCCTAACAATCGTTACAGACAGAGTATTAGAGTGTAATTTTCAATCCAACTTATAATAGCTTTAAATTATGAGTATTTTGAGATAACTAACTTCAGGGAAGAGCTTTTAAAATAAGATTTATACTGATTCTCAGGCATGAAAGGAATCTTGCCAATATTATGCAGCTTGTATAATAATCGTCATCGATTCAATGAACAACAATGATTAAGTTAACCAGTTCTGCTTAGCATGACATTAAAAACGCTTTCATAATGCTATTAAAACTTTCGTGAAAATACCAATATTTAACAGAAAATGCATAAAACCAATGATTCAGGTTTGTTATATGAGAGCTGTTCATATAAACTTTTCTAATTCTGTTTGAATAATCTATATATGAAACAAAAATAATTTATCTATGTCTTTCTAAACTTTTCAACACTCAGAAACATAAAATCCCAGACAGACTGCTTGGTAGCAAGAAGCAAAACAGGACGCGTGAAGTTAAATATATTATTGATATAAAGTTTCCTATATTTTATTCTGTCTGTCAAAAAGTCTCCTCTTTTTCCCTTCCTCTAACAAACTTTTTCTGGATCTATAAAATTGCCTTTTTTCCATTAAAGTCATGAAATATTCTGTAAAAAAATGAAGGAAACTCAAAGAATATGCATGGCGTCATATCAGAAAAATTTATATGAAGATTATTTTTACTAAACTTTTAAGATACATTTGTGAAAAATTTGCATCGCTTATGTAAAATACTATTTTCAAAGAACGCCAGCGTGAATATATCGGTGAAAAAAACTGAATCAGGACATTTATAATTTTTTCTAAGGATTATAATTTTTCCGAACCGGAACTTTTTTAAATTCCACATTTTCACAATTCATCATAAATTTTTAATGAAAGGCTTCCTATTTAAGTATCTTATCTGATTAAAAAATAAATGTAAATAGATGTGAGCCTTTTTTTTTAATTTTCGAGACCACAATGGATTTTTTTTGAATTCTGACTTTTAACCATAATCATGCAGAATGCAATTTTTCTATAATATAAAACTTGAAAAAAAAATAGAAAATGAAACTGATCAATCATGTGTGGGGATCATTCTAAAAGAATTATTTTTTTAAACGTATGCAAAAAGAAACAACTAAAACTCACAAAGTGGATAGATATATTCAGCATCAAAATGGCAATCCCAATTATTATAAAAAAGATGAAAGACTTTTATCTTTTGAAACAAAATACTTCTTTAAGATGTAAATGAGGAAAATATCATCAGGTTTTACATGTTCAAAACACAGTGTTTTTTGTCTAAACAACAGTTGAATGACTAATGCGTTGAAACATATTGAAATTAAGGAAAAGGTAAAAGGAAAACTTTGAACAACTGATCCAATTTTGAGTTTATGACTACCAATGTTCAACTCCGCAGCCTTCCGCCCAATTCAGGAGACAGGGGAATACCTGACTAGTATTGTGAGAAATTTGCCATCGTTGAGGATTTTTTTAGGGAACTAACCGGCATTTGCGTAACATGGAGATGAAAACCATGAAAAGCTTCCACGGTTAACCTGATGACGATGGGACTCTAACCCATAATCCGTCTACCACCGAGGATAGTTTTTGACGTCAGCACTGCTGTCGACGCAAGTATAAAAGTGAATGCTAGTATCAGTAGCAGATTCGTATCAGCAATCTATCACTGGGATCCGAACCCGGTTTATCAAGTTAAGAGGTGAGAACTTTATCTCCTGAGCCCTCACGGCTCTGCTATGGATGGTTAACTATGTTAAGATAAGTCCAGTTGATCATAACATTTAAAAATCATAATATGATTTCCCTGCTACTATTTTCAACTTTTTTTGTCTAAGCTTTAAAATCACTCACTATTGTTCTTTTAATTGTACTTTAACCTTTTTACAATATGACTAGGGTTATATACCATTCATTTTGTAAATCTATTTAATTTTAGCTAAAAATATGAAATAAAAAGAAAGAGGAGCTCAAATAATGATAGCCCTTTCCTTCTATTTAGGTCTAGATATCTTCTTTAAACAGATTTATGCTTTATGACCTTTTAAAACTGAAAAAAAAAGTAAATAAATAAGAAAATAAAAAAACGTACGAATGATAAAATTACGTGTAAGTTTAAAAAAATCTTATTTACAAATATTTTTTTACCGTCAAGCTTTTTCATGTTTCGTCTCGTAAACATTACATAAGTGGGGAGATTTACCGTCCTTATTTAAGTTAGAGCTCAGGTTAAGGAATCTTGTTATTGTTTACAATCAATTAATCACCCACTACCGGAAGACGATGATAGCCAAAAAGGCAGCATAAAATTTATTTTCAGGTTATTTTAAAGTATCATTAAAGGTTTTTTCTCTCACATGTTAATCTACGAAAATTATTTGCTCATTTATTAATGAACACATTAACATTATGAAACCTTTCTTGCTTTGTTTTGTGCACAAAAATGCGTTCTATTGTACCCAGCTTCTAATTCTTTAAATTTAAGGTTACGAAACTTATAATATTATATTTTTTAAACACGATTTTTTAAACACGAAAACTCATTCAATACGTACTATTACCGAATTCATCTTCAAAGTATTTTAGAAGAATAAAGAAGTTAGCAAAAGTTTCTTTCATTCAATGCTTTCTTTCATTTTCTAGAAATTAGAAAATTACAACAAGCAATCCAATTATTAAAATTAAAATTTCTATCTTCCAGTAAAATCACCGAAACAGATCAAGAAGTAAAGTATTCTATGAGGCAGACATCAAGAGAATATTTTCATTTTAAATTAAAAACTCGTGTTATATTTTTATTTTTAATGTACACATATTTAGTAAGAAATTATCGAAAAATATCCTTGCAATAAAAGCAAAATCCTTGAACTTTCAAATATTTTTGAAATGGTAAAAAGTTTTTTAAGTCATTCTACTAATAGAAACAATTTAGTATTAAAATAAAGAAATGAGAAATAAGCAGAGATAAGTTGAGCGAATTTCCTTGTCGTCTTTATATGCGGTAATCTATCAGGAAAAATACGCAAGTTGTACTGATAAATTCTTTTTTGTCCANTAATTTAATTATTATTATTTTTAGTTTTATATTTATTTAATTTATATAATATTATTTTCACATTAATTATTTTTTTAAAAAAAAGAGCCTTCAGAGTTTAATAGAAAAAAATAAACTTATGCACTCTGCAAAATTGACGATCATTTGAGTTAGAACGCCGTTAAAAAACATGCTTACGAACTTTCTATTGGAAATGCTGATTTAAATTAAGAATGCTTTAATATTTTGGAGAGTCAAAAGAAAATCTATGCTATTTTTATTAGTCTTATTTATATTTATTTGCTATTTCAAGACATATACCTACGAACTTAGTAATGCCACTCTTTAAATATATACTGTATATTGTTTTTAAAATGCGTTACAAAATATTAATAACAACAATCTTATATCTAAGAAGAAAGAAATCTTTATCAAAACCTTACAAAATATTATTTAAGTTCAACTAACTTCAAGATATGTTTAAAAAAACTTCAAGATATGTTTCATTGCTTAAACTTAAAGCGGGTGCAAGGCGATTTTAAGAATCACCACCGCATTCGATATGACAAGCAAACTGAATCTGATATTTACAATATTACGTTCATAAATAAAAATTACAGGATTTTAAATCAGCTTTTTTTCCCCCACTAATATTAATTTGTGATCCCTAAGGCCTGAATTCTTCATTGCAGTTAGATCGGAAGTTCGTATTAAGGTTGTTGATTGTGAAGCACCCTGTATTCACTAAGATCTTACCTCTTTAGTTAGATGAACCCCTTTTTCCCGCTTGATTCATAATTACGTTTTTCTATTTGCAAAGAATAATATTCATATAATTATTTCCAATTTCTACAATTTTTATCGTTGTTTATCCATTTACGAACAAACATTATTCTCACTTATTTCGATTTTGAAATTCAATCAAAAAACTAAGTATTGGCATTGAAACAAACTTCTTTAAAATGTACTGTTGATCTTAACCAACTGGCCTCCACGGTAATTAGATTAAAAGAAAAAACTGCAAAATATCTCAATTCTGTCTACGAAAAGGAATATAGATGACTTTGTATCTATCGATTGATTAATAATTATCCTTTTTCCACTTGAAAAAAATAATCTTTTTATAATAATTCCTACTTGTTATAACTTTTTACCTATTACACTGAAGTGCCACCCTCATTTATTTCAATTTTGAATTAAATTGAGAAAATGAGCATTGACTGTAAGAGAAACATGTTTTTAAAATGTGTTTTTGATCTATTTCAAGTAGCCTCTATTGTAATTACATAAAAAGAAAAACCAACAAAACCTTTCAATTTTGTCTAAGGAGAAAATTAATTTAATATTTGAGAAAACAAATGCTGGTGATAAATTTTGCTATCACTGTGGTTTGTACCAAATAACCTACTGCTACTTCTAAAATAATGATCACTCTCTAAGATCATCAGCTCCATTCATTATATCTCAGTCATTTTGCTCTCAAATCGTAAAATAAGAAAATAGAAACAGAAAAAAATGTGACAGAAAGAAAAAAATTCAGTTTAACTCACGCCTACGTT